TCTGTGCATCAATGAGATGCAGTACTTGTACGGTGGTAGCGTGCTCTCAACACCTGCAACTCACTGCGGCAGTGCACCGTGCGCTTTTGCTACTTCCGGATTCTACTCGGATTGGAGCCCCGAGAAAGCTTTCGATCAAAGCAATTATGCAATGTATGGCAGTGGATATTGCAATGAAGCCGGTGATGGTTATCCCCGAGGGGCTGGGTGGTTGGCGTACGACTTCGGAGTGCCGACACAAGTCGATCAGGTCAAGATTTGGTTTTGGAGAGGTGATCACAGCGCGAGTGGGACGGCCTACATGGAAGGCTCAAACGATGCGGTCACATGGACAACTTTGAAAACGATTACAGACACTGATTATGCGACACTCGATACGACCGTCGATTGTGTTGCATCGCCAAGTTCGGCGCCGACGCTGCTGATGAAGCTGAGGGCTGGCTCCAATACCTTCCAGTATGACGCAAGCTATTGGACCGACACTTCTGTGTTGAACGAAGCTGGCGGCGCTTCGGTCAGCGACTCTGACGACGAGGACGTCAAGATGTCGGCATTCAACACAGACCCGATCTCCGCCCTGACGTTGTGCTACAAGACGCTGGACAACTGCTACACGTACGAGCTGGGCGCGACGTACACCAGCGCAAGCGCTCTCTTCAGCTCGGGATTCATCCGCAGCGAAAATCTGGGTTATGGCGCTGGAGCCGCCGACGCAGCGAAGCAGGCCTGGACAGATCTGTTTTTGCCGCCGGGGACCCCGACCTGGTACGACGACTATTGGAACGGGAACGGAGGCGGCAATTGCAATATGCAGCGGCCAGGGATCAACACCCAGTGCAATGACAACAACTGGGCCCGCATCGGGTACTGCGTGAACCTCCCTGACCAGAGCTGCCAGCCATATGATACCAGCGACGCCGACTCTCCTATTGGGATCGGGCTGAAGACGCAGAATTGGCCCAACAATGTCAATGCCCCTTTCGGGGAATACTTCATACACGGCGCTGGGTCGTCTGGCGTGCAGCTCTTCCAACACCAAGCATGGCTTTTCGCAGGATCGGCTACTACCGCGGCTTCCCCAACGCCCTCTCCGACGCCCTTCCCGACGGCCTTCCCGACGCCCTACCCGACGCCCTTCCCGACGCCCTTCCCGACGCCCTACCCGACGGTTTTCCCAACGCCTTACCCAACGCCGAGCCCGACGCCCAGCCCAACGTATCCTGTCGGTTGGCCGACGCCGCATCCGACGTTTCCTCCGGGGGCTGCCATGGCGGGCGGAGCCGGCGGAGCGGCTGCCACTGGCGACCCCCACCTGCAGAACGTTCACGGTGAGCGGTTCGATTTAATGCAGCCAGGCAAGCATGTGTTGATTAACATCCCTCGAGGAGTGCGCCCTGACGAGGCATTGCTTCGAGTGCAGGCTGATGCGCGCCGAATGGGTAGCTCTTGCGCGGACATGTACTTCGTCGGTGTCAATGTTACGGGGTCTTTCGCAGAGGCAAGGCGAGCTGGAGGGTATCGTTACGCCGTGTCGACACGTGCAGTCGAGACTCCAGAATGGGTTGCTTTTGGGAAGGTTGAGCTGAAGGTTGTTCAAGGACACACGCAAAGTTGCATCAGCTACTTGAACGTTTACGTGAAACATTTGGGACGGGCAGGTTTTGCAGTCGGAGGCCTGCTGGGAGAGGACGACCACAACGACGTTATGATTCCTCCACCAGGTTGTACCCATCATGTGGGTCTTGTGGACGCTGATCTGGGAGTGAGCGGCAAGGGTCCTTCCGTGTCTTCGGTTGCAGTGGCATATTTTTGATGATATCCAGTTGCTTGCGGCAAATCCGCCAGCGTGCCAGCGAAGCATTCTGTGTGGCAGCCCTGATCTCATTGTTAGGACGGCCGTCACACGTGACACCTCTCGTCTCGATTTCTTGATGAGCTCCCATGGGTCTTATTTCGACCATCTTGGGGCTTTCTTGGCCTTCTTGCGGGTTCCTTGACGCCATTCTGATCCGTCTTGTGGCCTTCTTGGGGCCCCCTTGGCGGACCAGGGTGTCTCTAGGTTGGGCGGTCTAGGGGCCCTCGTTGGCCTTTTTGGGTTCCTCTGGAGGCCCTGTTGAGCCAGCTGGGGCTTTCTTGGGGCCGTCCCGGGCTGCCTCGGGGCCCTCGTGTGGCTCTCGGTGGGCACTTTGGGGTCTCCGCAGGCAGCAGGTGGACCGATCTCCGACCGAAGATCGCGGGCAGCGGCACACACACACATACTCACACACACTCTTCTCACTCTGACGCTCACACTCACACAGTCACGCTCACACTCACACTCGCACTCACACTCCCACTCAAACTCGCACTCACACACATTCACACATTCACACACATTCACACACACGAACACACACACACTCACACACGCGCCCGCCCGCACACACACACACTCACACACACACACTCACACGCACACTCACACTCACACACATTTACACACATGCACGCGCATTCACACACACGCACACACACACACACGCACACACACACACACGCACACACACACACACGCACACACACACACACGCACACACATACACACGCACGCACACACACAAACACTCACACGCACACGCTCACACGCACACACACACACACACTCACACTTACACTCTCACCCACACACGCACACACTCACGCTCACACTCACATTACCACACGCACGTTCACACACATGCACACATGTCCGCATACGTTCACACACATTCACACACATTCACACACGCACACACACTCTGTCACACACGCACTCACAGTCACACTTCCACCCACACACACACACTCACACACATGCACACATTAAAACACAGTTACACATGCACACGCATCCACACACACACACTCACTCTCACACACACAGACACACACACGCACTCACACTCACATTCAGACTTGCACACGCACACGCGCACACAGTCACACTCACACTCACACACAACCTCTCTCACACACACACACTCACACTCACACTCGCACTCACACACACATTCACACACATGCGTATACATTAATTTTTTTCACACGCATGCACACACATTCACACACACTAACACACACACACACTCACACTCAGGCTCGCGCACACGCATTCACACACATGCGCGCACATTCACACACACACACACACTTTCGCACACACTTACACTCACACTCACATTCACACACATTCACACACGTGCACGTTCATTCACACACATTCACACACACGTTCACACACACACGCACTAACACGTACGCCCACACACACACTCACACTCACATTCACACTCACACACTCATTCACAGACATGCACACACATTCACACACTCACACACACACTTCCACTCACACTCACACTCACAAACGCACATTTACATACATGCACACACATTCACACTCACACGCACTTGCACATAGATGAACGCATACACACTCACACACACACACGTTCACACAAACACAACCTCTCACAAACACACTCACACTCACACCCACGCACATGTGCACACATTGAAGCACATAAGCACATTCAAACACATGTGCGCACAACATACACACCCACACACTCACACTCACATTCACACACACACACACGCTCACACTCACACTCACACACAATCATACACATGCACACACGTTCACACACACGCACTCACACACACACACCCACACTCCATGCACACATATTCGCACGCATGCACACGCATTCACACACACACTCACACTCACACTCACACCCCTACAATCACACTCACACTCACACTTACACGCACACACACATTCACACGCATGCATACACAGTCACACACACAATCACACACACACATCCACAAATATTCGCACCCACGCGTGCACTCACACTCACACTCACAAACGCACATTTACATACATGCACACACATTCACACTCACACGCACTTGCACATAGATGAACGCATACACACTCACACACACACGTTCACACAAACACAACCTCTCACACACACACACTCACACTCACACCCACGCACATGTACACACATTGAAGCACATGAACATATTCAAACACATGTGCGCACACACATACACACCCACACACTCACACTCACATTCACACACACACACACACACGCTCACACTCACACTCACACACAATCATACACATGCACACACGTTCACACACACGCACTCACACACACACTCACACCCACACTCAATGCACACACATTCGCACGCATGCACACGCATTCACACACACACACTCACACTCACACTCACACCCCTACAATCACACTCACACTCACACTTACACGCACACACACACACGTTCACACGCATGCATACACAGTCACACACACAATCACACACACACACACACATCCACAACTATTCGCACCCACGCGTGCACTCACATTCACACTCACATATGCACATTTCACACACATGCACACCCATTCACACATACCCGCGCACATAAAAATTAGCCTGGCGAAGGACCCAACCATATGCAGTTGTGAATGCCGCAATTGTGCTGGGTGGTGGCGGACGCATGCGGGCGGTGCCACTGGGACCTTCGGTGGAGCTCCCTATGGGGCCACGAAACGCTGTACTGGGTGGGTGAGACGCGGTCAGCAAGGGCTGTGCTGCGTGGTGGCGGACGCATGCGAGCGGTGCCACTGGGACCTTCGGTGGAGCTCCCTATGGGGCCACGAAACGCTGTACTGGGTGGGTGAAACGCAGGCAGGGAGCAAGGGCTGCGCAGGGTGGTGGCGGACGCATGCGGGCGGTGCCGCTGGGACCTTTGGTGGAGCTCCCTATAGGGGGGCTACGAAGCGCTGTTCTGGGTGGGTGAAGCGCAGGGAAAAAGGGCTGTGCTGGGTGGTGGCGGACGCAAGCGGGCAGTGCCACTGGGACCTTTGGTGGAGCCCCCTATGGGGCCACGAAACGTGCGAGGGGTGTGCCAGAATGGGGTGTGGAACCGCATGCCAGCGCAGCCACTGGGGCCTTCGGTGGAGCTCCCTATGGAGCCACGAAACGTGTGAGGGGTGTGCCGAAATGGGGGGTGGAACCGCATGCGAGCGCAGCCACTGCGGCGTTCGGTGGAGCTCCCTATGGGGCCACGAGACGTGTGAAGGGCGTGCCGAAAAGGGGGGTGGAACCGCATGCGAGCGCAGCCACTGGGGCCTTCGGTGGAGCTCTCTATGGGGCCACGAACCGTGTGAGGGGTGTGCCGAAATGGGGGGGGAACCACATGCGAGCGCAGCCACTGGGGCGTTCGGTGGAGCTCCCCATGGAGCCACCCACGAAGCGTGTGAGGGGTGTGCCGAAATGGGGGGTGGAACCGCATGCGAGCGCAGCCACTGGAGCGTTCGGTGGAGCTCCCTATGGGGCCACGAAGCGTGCGAGGGGTGTGCCAGAATGGCGGGTGGAACCGCATGCGGGCGCAGCCACTGGGGCCTTCGGTGGAGCTCCCTATGGGGCCACGAAACGTGCGAGGGGTGTGCCAGAATGGGGGGTGGAACCGCATGCGAGCGCAGCCACTGGGGCGTTCGGTGGAGCTCCCTATGGGGCCACGAATCCTGTGAGGGGTGTGCAAGAATAGTGGGTGGAACCGCATGCGGGCGCAGCCACTGGGGCCTTCGGTGGAGTTCCCTATGGGGCCACGAAACGTGTGAGGGGTGTGCCAGAATGGGGGGTGGAACCGCATGCGGGCGCAGCCACTGGGGCCTTCGGTGGAGCTCCCTATGGGGCCACGAAACGTGTGAGGGGTGTGCCAAAATGAGGGGTGGAACCGCATGCGGGCGCAGCCACTGGGGCCTTCGGTGGGGCTCCCTATGGGGCCGCGAAACGTGCGAGGGGCGTGCCAGAATGGGGGGTGGAACCGCATGCGGGCGCAGACACTGGGGGCTTCGGTGGAGATCCCTATGGGGCCACGAAACGTGTGAGGGGTGTGCCAGAATGGTGTGTGGAACCGCATGCGGGCGCAGCCACTGGGGCCTTCGGTGGAGCTCCCTATGGGGCCACGAAGCGTGTAAGGGGTGTGCCAGAATGGGGG